CGCCCTGGTCCGCTCCTACTCTCTCGCCAAGGCTTGCATTTTCTTCTTTTTCTCTCGATATTACGTGCATCTACGAGTGGTGCAACGTATCAACGGATACGTCATCGTCGTCTCCTCTTGCCGGTCGAGTGACTCACCCGCTGGAAACCGTGATAGCGTAAATGTGGTATATACAAGGTGTCCCATTTAACTTGAGACAACTAAATATTTCGAAAAATAAGCATTGTACGAAAAAATGTCCCAAATAAACTTTTAATATTATCAAGGGGGACGTCTGCCTGTGTAAAAATTAATCCGCCCCCACTGCCCCTTGGGGGTGGGGCGGGTGGCAACTTTAAAATTTTAAATAGGAACCCCCATTTTTTATTGCAGATTCGGATTCCTTGGAAAAAATACTTAAGTTTTGTCCAAGACATTTTTTCGAATCGTAATAGATGGCGCTGTAATCAGTGAAAATTAGTTTTTGCCATTTTCTCTCACTATCGTCGATATTTCTTCCAGACTCACCATAAATCAAAATTATTTCAACTTTCTCCTCTAAAGATAAATAATCCATTATTTATTTGCTGAAATAAAGAACGCGTCCGTAAAAAAACAAGTAGCTAGCGTACCAAAACTATGAGGCATCTACATATGTAGTAAATTTCTGAAATACTGAAAATACTGAGAGAGCGAATGATACTTTTCATGCAGATTTTTATCAACAAAGAATTTAAAGACCGGTAAATCTAAAAAATCTGAAACTTTAAAATTAAACTTTATAACTTTTTAAAACAGATTTATAATTAATATCTTGCTCTTTGATTAATTCCTTAATAAAATTTAAAGATTACAGGAATAAAATTTAATTTTTTATATGCTGTTTCGTAAACATCTCTTTCCAAAATTTGTGGAATGTAGTTGCAATATATCACGCAAAAATATTCTGCGGTTTAAATAGATTTCAAAAACGTCTGAGCATTAAGATAATTAAGTACGATGCGATAAATTGATGGAGATTGAGAGAATAGTTAAATATCTTGATTTGTCGATCGTGAATACCATTGCGAAATGCAGGCGCAAGAAACCGCTCCGATCGCAGTTCGATCCGTGCAATGTCCAATTGTGCAACGGACTGAGACGTCGCGCTCGATTTGGAGCTGATCTAGAAGCGTGATCTAGAAGAGCTAGATTTCGCGGAACGGAGTTGGCAGGCGGGTGCTTTGGACCGGGGTAATATCTGTGTCGGTGGCGCGAGTATAAACCGATTTATAGCGTTCGCAGAATGCGAACCCTTTGGCAGGCGGGACAAGACAATTCTCAGAGGTGCTGGCGCTAAGTCCCGGCCTACATAATAGTCGTGCCAACGGGATCTCCTACTCATTCGCCAGCTCCGTCATAGGGCGTAGGGTCCCCGTGTTTACGACCGTGAGATAATCCTCATCAACATAGCGATGCATGTAAGTTTATGAAATTATTTTAAACATTTATTTTGTTATTTTATTTAGTTATATTATTTTATTTTTTCTCGAATTCTTTAAAATTCTTCAAAATTTGATTAATTTTTATCATATTTTAATTCGAAAATGTTTGATATAAAATTCTCATAAAAAATGATCTTTCCGTCTATCGGAAATGTATTCCGCTTTACGTAAGAAGATTGATCGCAATTTGTCTGATTATTAAGAAACATCGAACCATTTTACTCTATCGAGGGATCCTGGATCTCTGGTTGCACAATCGAATAATTTTCTCGACAAGATTTCGCTCTTAGGCGCACCGTAACCGATGGTGTAATCGCCGCCGCGCGATTTGCCGGCAGCGTTTGCAAATCTATCAAACCGGATGTCCCGAGTCGAAATTTAGCGTCTCTTTTAATGCTCATACAGCCTATATGAACCTATTTTTACGGAATTAGAACTTAGAACTCCTCTTTTAAAACTTGATCTCCTATAATTTGATGTTGAAATACTACTTTAAACCTATAGAGCCTCACAAAATAGATTGTATTACTGCGAGAACTCCTCCATTAAATCTCGAACTTTTATCTAGTATATATATATATAAATATATATATATACTAAATATATATATATACTAGATAAATTCGACCTATAAAAGTTATTATAATGTTTAATCAATAAAGACAAATATTTAATTTGTTGCATTTCCTACTTCATTAATATTGATACCTTTCCGTTTCCTTCTTACAAAATAGTGATATGATATCTAAAAAAGATTCAGCGCAAAAAAATTTTTTTAAATTAATTTTTTTATTAAATGTTAACTATTTTAGATGTACTCGTTAAAATTCAAATAAGAATGAAAAACTATACGAGCAATATGCATAATGTGGTTGTATTTTGATTATTGCTTTATTAAGTGATACAACATTATCAAACGTTTCAGTCTTAATTTGGACCTTTTTCTGTATAAATATTTCTGTCTGAACTTGTTTTAACGCATGTTAACTATACTTAATAATATACTCTTAACTATATGTATTACATATACTTAATAAATAATATTTAATTCAATAAATATTATGTAATGTTTTTAGTATCTTATTTTATATTTAATATCTTAATTTAATATTTTTAATATAATCACAAAGGTATATGGATTTTCAGCACTAGTTTTATGATATTATCAAGAAATTCTAATGATTGCAAAAATCTTCACAATAATAAAAAAAATTACTAACTATATAATTTTAATTGATGATAATTTTTAATAACATAGAATTTTTAAAAATATTAGAAATTAATACTCAATAGTTGAATTTTGATATTATATTTTGATATTATCAAGAAATTTCTAATAATTACAAATTTTCAAAAGATAATAAAATTCAACTAAATGGTATTGATTAATGATATTTTTAAATTGTATGCTATTAAAAATTATCGTTAATCAAAATTATAGTTAGTATTTTTCTTTATTGTGAACATTTGCAATCATTAGAATTTCTTGATAATATCATAAAAGTAGTGCTGGCAAAAAGGAATCTATATATTTTCAGGGTCTAAAGCGGGTCAACGGAGGGTTTTAACTAAACCCTACTTTGAAGCTTTAGCAGGAAAAAGGGAAATTTCGGACATATTGTAGCGCCAAAGTAGGTGCTATTATATACATACGATACAATGCATAACACCTACTTTGACTCTCTTATGCCTACCTCAAAATAAAAGATTAAGGTTCAATATAGGTGCTAAATTTCGACTCGGGACGTTACTATTATTATCTCAGTCTCACTAACTTCTCAAAATTGGCGTATGCACTCGAAATAATGCAAAGCTAAACTTTATCGTTCGCGAGGGGGCGGAGCTACTTAATAAAATTTTGATGGCCGTCATGTTTGGAAATTTTCCAAACCCGCCCCTAGGGCATTCGATGTGTTTACATACCGTCGCTCGATTAATCTAGAATGCATCTCACGCGAGATGCCCGACACCGTTGACGATGGTTGCACAATGAGGATTATGGCACCATAATCCTTGAAGAGATTCTATCGAACCGACGAAGAGATTCCGTTGTATCGAGAGCCACCTTGTTCCAATTATAATTTGTTTATAACTTTCGTAAGTAGTTTCACGATTATCCTCGATAAAAGCAGCACGGCGTCCCATTGCGACGTAGACGTTTCTTCATAAAATTTTATTCGCGCTGGTGCAGTTTCGCATTTGCATGCAAATATATTACCGAATGTTCGGGCGGAGGCAGTCGAATCGTAATCTCGTAATCCAATTCTTTCGGACGACTAATTCGCTGAAGTCAGCGAATGGTCCCCCGCTTTTCGAAGGGTAGATGACAAAAATCCATACGAAACCCCCGTTGGTCTGCAAGGCACAGAGTTAGGGTTCCCCGGCTGCAAGTGCAGGAGCGTGTCGACGATCAACACCTGAATGTGAAAAAATTTTGTAAAATTAAGACGCGTTTTATCGACTGACAAATTTTATTGACTATTGACAGATTTTTTCTTACGTATTCACACGCGATTAATTGAATTAGATCTCTCGATATTTACATGCTAATTTAATAAAAATATAATTCAATAAATTAGTGTTAATAAATTAATATAATGCAGGAAACAATCTTAAAAATATTTCCAAAGCTTAATTATGTGAATAAAATTATAAACTTATAAAAGAGAATATGAAATAAAACTGCCAAATATCGAAGGAAATAACGATTTCGATAGAATTTCTTCTTCTTTTCTTCTTCTTTCGAAAACTTTTTAGCAATCGAAATAAAAGTAAAGCATGAAGTTCTCGAACATGCGACAATAGTCATGAGATATAACATACATACAGGGTGATTCAAAATAACCTGATGTCCTTGCAATGCCATATTCTTGAGCGAACTCTGAGACGATTTTTCCTTTTACAAAATTTTGTCCAAAGCTCAGTTTTCGAGTTATAATTGAAAATAGTTTGCTACTTACGAGTCAGATACAACGGACAGGCAGGGACGAGCAATGCATCATGAGACGATAGTAAACATTTGACAGTCTCATTATACGTTGCGCGTCCCTGCCTGCCCGTTGTATCGAACTCGTAAGTTGCTATCTATTTTCAATTATAACTCGAAAACTAAGATTCGGACAAAATTTTGTAAAAGAAAAATTGTCTCAGAATTCGCTCAAAAATATGGCATTGCAAGGACATCAGGTTATTTTGAATCACCCTGTATACCTATATTTGCAACTTGCAGACGCAATAAACGAAATCACCGTACCGAATCGAGTTTCGTGAGGGAAAACATGGGTAGAGGGAATGGAAAATTATTAGCACGAGCAACAGTAAAACCGGCGTTACGACTACCGAAATATCGTTCCAACTTTCCGAAAGGCGACTGCAAATTATTAATGTCGTTCTACGGCGAGACATTGAGGGTAGCCAACATGCAGTTACGGACCTGAACAGTACCTTCAGGGGGTGAATCGGCGAAACGTAGCCCCCTCCCCGCTGAATTACTTGGGCGCCCAACAACAATTATCATCTTCGTTTCACAATCGCCAATTCCATTACCGCTAAGAAACATTTTACGATTCAATTCGAAAAAAATCAACATGTTCAATTGATCAATGAAAACATTTTATTGCTACCGATGTTACGTACTTGGTGTTGTTACGCACGTGACGATTACGCCAAAATTTGCGATTTATCGTTAATAAATACAATCGAAACATATATTCCTCGCATGTCTGGTTTACGCACTCAAAAACCATCGTTACTACGAATATATATCGAGAACGTTATGATGACTCAAAAAAATTTTGTAATATTGAATCATATTCGACAGACAAATGAATAAACGAATAAAAAATATGCAGTAACATTTGAATATATTTATGAATCGTATTGTAAAGATTTATTAAAAACAAAATTAAAAACGATAACGCGAATACAACATATTGCTACTGATCGTATCAGTGCATATTTTTTCCACTACAGGATCGATCAAACGTTTTTCATCGTCATTGATATTGCTAAACGTGACAACTACAAAATTATTTACAGCCAAAATATTATTTGTCACAATATTATTGTCAACGCAAATATTGTATCGATCATTCTCATCACACCCAGATACGATGTAATGATGATGTTTTATTCTGTCTCCATCAATATAATTATCACTGTCACTGTCACGAACATACGATACAATTTTAAAAATTTCGCAGTATCGATCTGGAATATAAAGAAAAATATTTTTTGTTTGATTGTAAATTAATGTAGACTCGCGTCTACGATCGAACGTCGGAATACTCGTAATTTTTTTAAACATCATATTTTTTCTTTTTTTGTGTATTTGCAAAATATTGTAAAATTTTTTATTAGTCATAAATATAGGTAATAAATATTGTTTCGTTTTTGTTTCGACGAGTTTTCGCTGACTGTCGTCGCCCAAATGAACACTATAGATATATCCCTTTACATTTTGAATCGATTGCAAATATGGATAACGACTGGGTATATCTGTCCGACGTTTCAGCACGGTATTGTACACACAAGTCTTCATATAATTTGATCTCGTATTCTCACTACACAACATTTTTATGTAGTGTTTAGTATCCACCGTAGCGATGTATATCTTGTCCGATAACCATGATTGACGTTGTTGCTGCACTTCACTCGGTAGCCACATAGCAACGCTCGGAATAAGGTTCGGTATATCAGAGTCATCGATTATTATACGAGGTTCAATGAAATCTACGACATGTAAGAGAAAAAACATATATACATTAACGTGATAGATGGTAATAAACATTTAAAATTGATAATACTCACATTCATCATCATTATTATCTCCAACAACCATCTTAATACCATCATATCTGAATTTTTTAGACGTAGATTCGTCATCACCGACATTACTACAATCATCACCAGCACCACCGTCATTATCATCACTTTTTTTCTTCATACTGTTACTATAATTAACATTCAATAATTGTTCTTTGGTGATTTCTCCATTGGAATAATTTTCATCGTCGATCGTAATAGATGTAGGAACGGTATTCGATTCTTGTTTTATAATAAATGTCGTCGGAAGATTAATGCTGTCATCGTCATTACTTGTCACAACATCCGTGTCATTTTTCTTATTGTTATTATTATTATTATTATTATTATTATTATTATTATTATTATTATTATTATGGCACATTGTTCCCGATAGCACATTCATTATACTGTCCAAATGTGTCCAATCTGTCTTAGCCTGTAACCATTTAGCTGTCATGTCGGATATATCTTTCTCGTATTCTTTGCATTTGCGTTTCAAAATATTCAATTCCTCCGTTTTGCGTTTTATCTCGGCACAGCACGAAACAATATTTGGACTGAGTTTGTCAAACTCACCACTGCAGGTGGACATTTTTGAATGATGTTTGAGCAGTCACCAACTCGTCACTTTTAAGAACAAATGAATAGAAAGAGAGGGGGGAACGATAAAAAACGACCGACCCCCCCCCTCAATCTCCCACCACTTCCTTATTATCGAATTATTTATGGTCCCAATCTCCCACTATCCACAAGTGACGTTCGCCATATTGATGACAATCGTTCGTATCGTTACGATCATCATGTCATCGTCGCCGAGTGCAGTAAAAGCAAAATTTCCTCTTTATTCACAAATACATATTAGACGCGAATTGTTCGCGACATGGAAAGCGAATGACAAAGTTTCTTCTGTTTAATTGAGTTTTTACGGTTTTTTTTTCGTCGCCGTGCACGACGTAGTGACTTGTTACGCGTGTGGAGTAACGCTTTATCAATGGGGTAAAGACGACGATTCAATAATAGAAACCACCTCAACCGTCGCCGCCTCTTTGCTGACATTTCGGTTCGCATGAAAAAAAAGTGCAGAAGAAAAAATATACAGTTCGCTTATACAGGGTGTCCCGTGTAACTTGTCCCACCGGGAACTGGGAGGTTGATGGGATTGAAATAAATATAAAAGTCCTTTACCGTTTTAGGATATTCGCAATAATAAGCGAGATATTAATTTTTACATTTGGACTAATGAGAGCGCATCGAGAGAAGCGCTCAAGCCGCTCGAGGTCTAGCCCGGCCTAGTCTATCAT